CTTCGGCAGGAGGGTTGGACTAGATGACCCACAGAGGTCCCTTCCAACTCCTACCATTCTGTGATTCTGTGATTCTGTGATTCTGTGATTCTGGTGCAGGTTGGGACAGTCATGGCATTGCATGCCAGGGTCAGCCCTCACTCGCCCCGAGTCAAAGCCCCGTCCAGAGCCAAAGCCCCCAAAGCTGGGGTCGGCTCTCACCTCTTACCTGGCAGCTTGTGGGCAGTTTTCCCAGGTTTTCCCCCATTTCCAGGACACAGAGCAGCCAGACAGTGCCCGGCGGGTGCATTCCCTGCCTGGGATGTCTCTGGCTCTTTCAGCATCCCTGAGGACCCTGTGTGAACCCGCCGAGCGTTAATCATCACGCCACATGGCCCCAACATCCGCTCAAACATTTATAACCCCTCTTAATACCTGTGTGGCTCCAGTTGCCTTTGGGACGCTCCATCTAATCCATCTGTCTGTGCATTTAAAGCAATCTCAGGAGACAGCCCGGAATCCTTTGTCCCTACAAATCCATGGTGCTAAGGCAAGCCCGTGGCTTTGTGCTGGTTCGGGGTCCCGGGGAGTCCACCCAGGCACAAGGATGGCTCTTTGCAGCACTGGGGAGCTGGATAAGGTTTTTGCTGCAAGAGTTTAACCGCCCAAGGTGGGGTATTCCCCCAAGTGAGCTCCCCGCTTCAGCAAAGGGACCAAGCTCCCTCCCTGGGGTCAGGCTGACCGCAGGGTTTGGTGCACCCCCTCTTCGCCCCGTCTCGGCGTAGCCGTTAAAGCCCGGTGTCTCCTGAGCCCTTGGCTGTGGCTCTGCAGCTCTGCTCCTTTAATCCAGCTTTGGAGATGTGCAGACGCACGTAATGACCATTAACACCGTCTGGGAGGTCACAGCGGAGCTCAGATGAGCAGGCAGTCCTAGCACGGTGCAGCCAGGGTGCCTGGCTTGCAGCAAAGCCCTAAGCAGAGGAGGTGGGGGTCTGGCCCTCGTCCTCACCTTCGAGCCGTACCAGCTCCCCCGTGAAGCCTGGAACTGCCCACGAGCCAAATCGGAGGTGGCAGGCAGGAGCGTGTTGTGCAAGTCTCGTTGGCACCAAGAACTCAGTGTTTCCACCTGCGTCCCCCTTCCCGGGGCTCGTTGGAGCCTTTCCCTCATCCCTGGCCGGGCACTTCTTGAGCACCCAGCTCTGGGGCAGATGGAGATTTCACCAGAGGGGCCACGCTCAGCAATACGTTGTCCTTTGAGGACATCACGGGAATGATCTTCCCCCTTCTGCCCCGCCACCACATCCCCCATTATAGTAGTGTTATCATCCTGTACAAAAATAAATAAATAAATAAATAAATAAATAAAAAGCAAGAGGCTTTATCGTGGGGAATGTTAAAAATAGGATTAAAAATACAACTGTCAGGGCAGCATGGATATTGACCTTCTCTCTGTCTTTTTCCCCTTGCTCTGTGTCAGATGACCTAAAGGAATTTTTCTTTGTCATGGCAAAGGAAGTCAGGAAAACCATCCTGGGCCCTCTCTCTCCCAAGTGCAGCTTGCTGGCGTATACCAAGGCTATTTTGCAGCGGATTCTCCCAGAGGACTCCTACCAGCTGGCGTCGGGGCGGCTGCACATCTCGCTCACGCGTGTGATGGATGGCCAAAATGTCATAGCCTCTGAGTTCAGCTCCAAAGAGGAGCTCATTGAGGTAAAGCGACCTTCCTGTGATGCTGCAGGAAGATCTCTGCCTACTGCTAGGGGTGGAGGTACCTGCGCGGTGATGATTTTAACTGCGCTGTTTTCTAGCCAAGATGGGGAGAGTGTAAGGAAGCTCTGTCAGAGCCGTGGTCCCATCACAATGAGCTCCATCAAGCTCGGAGGGAAGGAGGGAGATGTTGTTAGGTCCAGAGCCATCTGGGAATAAATCATGATAAAAAAGCAGAAGGTTTGTTTCCAGGCTCAAAAAGCTGATGCCGACACGTTGGCCAGCTCTAATCATCGCTAATGACTCTTTGCAAAGAGCTGTGTTCATGCTAACATGACCTCTCAGCTTTCTGGACAGGTCTCTCCTCAGCCAAGTCCCACTGGCAGTAGTCTTCCTTGCTGCCTCAGCGCTTTCCTGGGAGGAAAGAGCTGGACAAAGCGTCTGTGCTGCCAAACAACCAGCAGCTGATTAACCAGTAAATAAGTTGCTGGGGAAAGAATCCCAGGGTAAAACCCTAACAGAGCCGAGCACGAGGTTGGGGGCTTGCTTGTCCCAGGCAGATGGTAGAGGACGGCAAGTCCATGGAGACGCTGGAGTTCACCCCGTGGTGCCTGCCCTAGGTCAACCCAGAAGCCCAGGATGCTCATTCCTAGCTGATGAGATGGGTGGAAAATGGTTGCAAACGGCCCGGCTGTGGCTTCACCATCGACAAATCCCAGCAGAACGAGAACGCATTGTGAGGATGTCTTCGTTTTGTCTAAAAACTCACAAATCTGAAAAATGACCCCAACGCTTCACCTTGCCACACCAAAGGGCAGTGTGTGGAGAGTGGTACATAGATATACAACGCTAATATTGCTGGTGGCTATAAAAATAAATGAAGCGCTACGCCCTGCTCAAGAGAAGTGTTTCAGCTTTATGGAAATGAGATGTTTTCCCCTTCTTGAAACCTTTCTTCTTGACACAGCCAAGTGCAAAGCCCAGGTGGTACCGACAGCCCAGCTGCAGATGATTTGTCAAGCCTGAATTCGCAGGCACCCAGTCAACAGTTTTGTCCAAGAGAACTTTGACACGAACACTTACTTCTGCAATCCCTCTCCTCCCCCAGGCTCTCCTCTGCAGCTGCTTTCTTCCCATCTATTGTGGCTTCATCCCTCCATCCTACCGAGGTGTGGTGAGTGGTATTTCCAATAAAACCTATGCTCCCAGCAGTGTGTTCGTGGGTTTGAACGTTACATTCCCTTGAGCACGGAGGGATATGTATGTCTGGGCTGCTTCTTTAGTTAACAGAGGATGATGAAGCCTTTTAGCTTGTTCTTCGTCCCATCCTAAGATGATAGCTGGGTGGAGTTGCCACCTGGAGACTGCTTAGCCTGCCGACGGAGCCTGGGTGTCTGGCTCTTGCCTTGCAGATCTCCAAAGCAAGGTGAGAGGACGCCCACACTCAGGACTTTGACACACAATCCAGTTATCCTGGGCAGGATCTGTCTGCAGTGCAGACGTCTCCACGAGCTCAGGTGCAGACTTGCATGGCTGAAATGTCTAAAGTTCGTAGGAGGATCCTCCCCCAACCACGTGCATGTTCCTACTCTGTGAAACACCACCATGAAGTCAACAAATCTGGGCTGGCTTGTTGCTAACCCTCAGTGAAGGAGGAGCCCAGCAGCGTGGTGGTGAAACATGTGCAGACGGACCACGGAGCAGCTGATGCACTGTGACCCGCTTGTGTGTCAAAGCCCACAAAGCCACGATACCAGATTTGCAGCTGGGACAGAGCTAGGATCTCTCCTTGACTCCCGTTGGTCTGAGCCTGTTTAGTCCTCAGACGTCTGTACCTGGTGTCGGGTCAGATCTCCAGCCTGCCCCGGGCTGCAGGGCTTGCCCACAAAGTGCATAAACTCTGCAGGACCCAGCGCTCGGCGGCGTTGCTGCCTGAGGCTCCTCTGCGCTGTTGTTTCACCAGCATTTAATTCGATCAGCTGCAGTCCTTGCAACCTCAAATCCCACTGAGGTGGGTGGTAAATCCAGATTCCTTTTGGAATAGAGCAAACGAGGTTTTCCTTGCCCAGTGAGTAATCCTCCAGGGATCTGCAGGCAGTTATTAAACGCGGGAGCCCTACTGCTTGAGCTCGGGACTTGAAATTTATACGACACTGTAAATTCAGTGGCGTTTGAATTGGCTAATGACTGCCAAAACAACTTTACAAAGCTTTGTGAATTAAAATAATTACATTTCTGTTTTAAATAACTGCTGTGCATTACAGCATCTGGTTGAGGAGCCGGCTGGGTGCTGTAGGCAGGGCAGCAGAAGGAGCTGGCAAAGCCCAGGGTAAAGAACAAGGGGTGGGAAGAGATGCTGTTGTAAGTGGCAAGTGAGGACACGCTGGGAGTGGCTTCTGGCAGGAGGTGCCTTCTTTCCTCCCGGGGACGCAGAATCCTTGGAGCAAACCCTCCCTCTGCTCTCCCCCCTCAGCGATACGTTGACGGAGGATTCACCGGCCTGCAGCCTGTTTCCAGCTTGGAAGAAGCTGTGATCACCGTGTCCCCGTTCACAGGAGAGCTTGATATCTGTCCACGGGACTGTCCCGCTATCTTCTTCTGCTTCCAGATCTTCAACGGCAGCATTCAGATCTCGATAGAAAACCTCTGCAGGATTAGCTACGCTCTCTTTCCGCCGAGCACCATGGTAAGCCCACCAGGTCTTCTTCCCAGCTTTGTTTCAGTTAAAACAAATTAATGCTGGACCTGCTTTTCCAAGCTTTAAGGTTCAGCTCGATCTCCACCATTAATTAATCAGATTTCAAGGGCAGTGCATTTTTTTGCCGGACGCTGCTGGTGGGTGGCCAACCTGGCGTGGGGTCCGCCCCGGTTTGACAGCCTGCAGAGGAGCAGCGCTTTGGTGGCTGGAAACCAACCTGTGCTCGCTGCCTTCCCACACGGCCCATCCCAGCCCTCCGCGGTCAAGCAGCCTTGGCTAGATCCTGCCGGTGCCGGGATGGACGGCTCTTCAGTCACCTCAGGTGTTTCTCCTCGCAGGTCCTGAACGACATTTTCTCCCAGGGGTACCAAGACACGGTGCTTTTCCTGTACAGGAACAGTAAGTGTTACCCCCACCCCAGCCCAGCAGCGTGACACCCACGCAAACATCAGCCCTTGCTTTCCGTGTCTCACAGATGCCTTTGGCTTTAACTACTTCGACGGCAATTTCCGCTTCGCCACCATGTGCGGGAGGAATGACTCCGCGCAGTGCCGCAGGATCCTCGCCGGGCTGTGCCGAAGCGTCCCGCAGTGCCTGGCTCCCTGCTTCCCGCCAGGTCGGGGATGTGGGGTACTCACCTTGGGGGTGGCCGGGGCCACGCGGGGCTGCTGCAGCCTTTGAGAGGAGCAGTATTATATTTAACACATTACTGAGTTACTTACTAGATTAAATATTTCTAGAGCTGCAGTAGCCGTTTGCAAAGCGGCTTCATAAGAGCGGCTCAAGCTGGATTCTGGCCTGGGCCTCAGTGCCTACAGGCTGAGCTGCAGCAAGAGTCGCTGGAGAAGAGGAATTATTGAATTTATTGGGTTATTTCTAATTATTGGTCGTTACTTCTGTCTTGTCATTCATGGGCACAGGCTTGGCTCTGTGGAGGAAGGAGCAGGCGACTGGACTGCAGGATCCCCTGTCAAAGATCCTGTTGCAGCCATACAGGCTGCCAGCTTTTGCCAGGAAAGGGTAAGAACATCTTGACGGAGGCATCGAGGCCGAGAGCGAAGCAGAAAACAGAGCTTAGCCTGAGGCACGTGGGTGTCCCTGCAAGCCCGGCCTTGGGGCGTGCAACGGGCGGCAGCATCCTTCAGACGGCAGCTGCACGGGAACCACGGGGCAGGGCGGACTGGCGGCAGAGCCCCTCTTTTGCTACAGACCAGGGCAAGCTGGTGCCCATCTGCTGATTAAACAGGCTTAGCGGCATCCTCTTCCTCTGCAGGAGGGTTTGGTCGTCTCTGAAGGCAAGCTCTCAGGGAGAGTGGGCATGGCGAGCAGGAACACCACGGGATCGCTTGGTTATGGAAAAGGAGTATTGCAGTGTGCATTTACTGTTAAAGCCCTCCTCCTTTTGCTGCATTTACCGGTCGTTCAGCTCTGCCTGTTTATTTTCCTTTTGCAGGTTGAAGAAGCTGTGGGGGCTCGTGGAAGGCGTCACCTCCATGGTGAAACTGTTCCAGCAGCTCCTCCAAGCCATGGTGCACAGCTTGCCTAAGAGAGCCAGGACCAGCAGGTGAGGTGGTCGGGGGATGCAAACCCTCAGCACAGCGAGGGTGCAGAGCAGGGAAACCCCGGGGCAACTCACCCATGGGACACTGATGCTGAGCATGGCTAAAAATCTCTGATCTGGAGTACCCCACATTAAAAGTAGCTAAGTTTTGTCCCCGTGATATTATTTATTTAGTGATATCTGAAAGAAGCCATGAACTAGCTTAGTGCTGCTTCCCTACAGCAACATGTTCTTGTTCCAAAGCGTTTATCTGCTGGGCTCTGTCCTAGCAGGGTATCAGGCACGTTCATCAAGATCCTGAGAGGTATTTTGGAGCTCAGCTCTCCAGGATTCAAGGCATTTAACTTGTCACACAGACAGCTTTTAAGCCATGCCTCCCTAAAACCTCCTTGCAAGCCACTTCACATGCAGCTGGCGAAGGGACTTGCACAGAATGATTTCACGGCAGGCAGCTTCACAGTTCCCCAGCCATGAAAAAACCTGTCAGCATCCAACATCCCTGCAGCTCCTTGTCCCTGTCAGATCGCTGACCCTGACTCCACTAACCGCCAGTTTGTTCCCTTAGGTAACCGTCCTGGACGGGCGCTGGGGTCTCCAACACCGTGAGATTCTGCTGCCCCGGGAAGCAGTGGGTGACACCGGAGCTCATTTCACACAGTGGCACGGCTGCTGGTTTTTTACGGAGTTTTTTGGGGGGGCTTTTTTTTCCCACTTGGGGAACCCGCCTGGTTTTATTTCCAGTGCTGCTGCCGCAGTGTCCCTGCCCAGGCCTGACCTGCTTTAACATGACGGCCGACCCGCAGTCTGCGCAGGGGAGACTGGGCGTCTTCCATGCGTGTTCAGCCCAGCCGCTGGTTCCCCTAGCCACTCTGCTCGCTGAGCACCAGCATCCTCCCTCCCTCTGATTTAATGCAGATTACAGGGCAGGCATTTGCCAGGAAATGTCACATTTTAAGTGTTTTCCTCCCGCTTAAAAACTTTGAGAGATTCATTAAACAGAAAGCAGAGAGGGAAAAGCCTTCGGGAGCATCACACTGGGCAGGAACTCCTTTTTATCCAGTTTCCTGAAGTTATTTTACCAATCACCTATTCTTGAGGCCCACTTCTCCTGCCAGTGGACGTAGGCGCACCTTTGGACCTCTCTGAGTCTGCAGCTGTGGAGAAGGATGGAGAAACCTAAAGATTAACCCTCCCCAACCCAAAGGACACAGTCTTGCAGACTGCATCTCCTGCTGCGCCGCGAGAGCTGACATTTCACAAATCCATTAGTTCTTTCCATGAGATTTTCTGTACCTTGCTGCTATGAACAGCGTGTGGTTCAGGCAAACGCACCTCGTGTTGCTGGTCTGCGTAGAATGCACAGGCACTCTCATCATGCCAAATCTATTTTGCACATCAGAGGCTGACGGAGTGGCTGTGCCCCAATGGTCTCCCCTGTTTGCTGGTCCCCAATGTGCAACAAATGGATCACAACAGTACAAGCTGTTTATTTGAATGAACAACTTGTTTAACTGCAAAAAGGGAAACTGTACAAAGGGAAGTTTCACCCAAAGTCCCCTAGAGACCGTGGGCATGAACATGCGGAATAGCTGAAGGCTGCATTGATGTAAACAGATTCAAAGTTAACTATGAATGCTCAGTGAAAGATTAATATCATATGTTTTGCTGTCTCTGGTTGAAATCAATGAACCTATGAATCAATGAATCAGTTCCAACCTTGGAATATTTTCTCTGCAATGAGTTTGCCAAAAGAAACCTGGATGCTTATTTACACTGGATCCGTCAAAACCTTCTCCTGTCTCCCCTTCCATCCTGGATGGATTCACATCTCTCAAGCCCTGCAGCCAAAGCTGGGCTGCTCAAAACCAGCTCATGAACCGTGACTGTGTTCCTGCCACAGATCAAAGTGGAGATGGCACAGCGACAGCAGCTGCTCCCTGGGCAGGAGCAGGGCCAGTCACCCCATCGCTTGCTTTTGCTCCTACTGCTCTTCTGCTTTCCCCCCCCAGGCAGACAGCCCCGCTTCTGCAACAGCCCTCCTGCCTGGCTCCCAGTCTTCCCAGCAAGCACCACCACCTCCTGGCAGGGTACAGCCATTTCAGTCAGCCTCAGGCACGTAGGCTATCCCTACTCTAACAGGAATTAAAAACCCCAAAAGAAAATTCTCATAGAGGAAATGGACACCCAAATCCAGTAAATCTGCCTGCTAATCTCACAGTTTGCACATCTGCACATAGTTTGAACTACCCAGGTGCATCCCCCCTGCCCCTACACGGCATGGTGCTCGGCCACAAAAAGTTAATGAAACTTTGAGAACTTTAACAAAAAAACAGCCTACAAGGAACACCCAAACCAAAATGGTCACCACATAGAGCCCTCCTGCCCCAAACCTGCAGAGAAATGAAAGACAGCTGATTTGAATGATGAGTCATTAAACACATCTTAGCACCTCTCACGGAATCCCAGCATGGCAGGGGCTGGCAGGGCCCTCTGTGGGTCACCCAGCCCAACCCCCTGCCCAAGCAGGGTCACCCAGA